GGGGGGGGCGCGGGCCCGCCCCCCGGGGGGGGGCGGGGGTGGTGGCGGTGCCGGGAGCGCATCCGGTGCTGGCGCAACCGGTTCCGGACAGGATTGGCGAAGGCTAGTGGGCAGCATCAGGCGCAAAGTGCGCCGGAAGACCGGTCAGGGCAGCGCCAGCATCTCCGAGGCCGCGCTGCACGAAACCAACCGCAACCAGGATGACTTTCTCAAGGCCACCATGAGAATCTTTCTGGTGGTGTCGCCACCGATGGGACGAGTTCAGGTATCGTAACCATCGATCTTCTGACCAATTGGATTTTGCGAGTGTGTGAGGAGGGAAAGTTTTCTTTAGAGAGTTGAATGGAGTTGCAGGAATTTTTAGTTTGATGGATTTTTATCAAGGAAAGGGAGATGTTTGGGTTGGACAATTATGTATTTGGAATAGGGGACGTCTCATTGAAGTTGACGAGCTTAAAATAAATGTATACCGAGATCAACGTACTGATTAATTTTTCTCGACACGAATGACAAAGATCGGCCCCTATTCTGAATAATTACACGGAATTATTAAGGAATTATAAGGAAACATGAGGTACAAGGTTTCTTGAGTTTGGAATGGTACATTCGAAACATTCTTAACAAGTCCACTGTCCTGTGAGTCATTTGTTTATCCTTGCTTATACCTGTGTAATTGAATTACAAAATTGACAAAAAGCCAAGAAGAATTGACTGCGGAGAGGTTCACGTTTAAAAGTCCTTAATTTCTTTTCTCCGCTTAATGAAAAATACCGGCACATCGTACAAGCAATAGAGAAAGGTGGATTTCACTGAGCATTTTATCCCTGCGCGCGACGTACAAATGGTGATCGCTTAAAGCTCCCGGACAGTGAACGTGTTAAAACGACACTTCTCTTCAGAGTTGCTACAGTCACGAAGAATAGCCCTAAATCCTACTCTTTCCCTTTCTCTCTCTCTCTCTCTCTCTCTCTCTCTCTCTCTCTCTGTATTTTTCTCTCTCTCTCTCTCTCTCTCTCTCTCTCTCTCTCTCTCTCTCTCTCTCTCTCTCTCTCTCTCTCTCTCTCTCTCTCTCTCTCTCTCTCTCTCTCTCTCTCTCTCTCTCTCTCTCTCTCTCTCTCTCTCTCTCTCTCTCTCTCTCTCTCTCTCTCTCTCTCTCTCTCTCTCTCTCTCTCTCTCTCTCTCTCTCTCTCTCTCTCTCTCTCTCTCTCTCTCTCTCTCTCTCTCTCTCTCTCTCTCTCTCTCTCTCTCTCTCTCTCTCTCTCTCTCTCTCTCTCTCTCTCTCTCTCTCTCTCTCTCTCTCTCTCTCTCTCTCTCTCTCTCTCTCTCTCTCTCTCTCTCTCTCTCTCTCTCTCTCTCTCTCTCTCTCTCTCTCTCTCTCTCTCTCTCTCTCTCTCTCTCTCTCTCTCTCTCTCTCTCTCTCTCTCTCTCTCTCTGTATTTTTGCGCGATATTGAACGTAGTTGGCGTACTTTCAGCGCCATCACGAGTCACGTCGCCAGCGGCGGTGCTCAGATAAAGTCGAAACGCGGAATTTAATAATACCGCTGGATATTAATTCGTTACGCCGCCGGTTATTAGCAGATAAAGCGTTACCAGCTGGCACGCGCGTTCCGACCCGAAATAGACGGTATGAAAGCTAAGGATTCTCGAAACTTTCCGCGGTAGTGATCCAACTGACGACCTAGTTTCGCGCGAGCCGCACGGAAGTCTGCCCACTTCCACCTGATTAGTGGCAGAGATAATTGCCTTGAGAAATCGTGATCGAAATGGGACCGTTTTTCGATCGAGCCCGCGACTCGAACAGCCATAAACTCATCGACCGCCTCGTTAATCGTTCGAATCCATTATCAGAACCGTAATCGAGTTCCTCCCGTTTCCTTATACAACGTGCAAGCACGAAGATCCGGCATGAGTAGCAATAGAACAAAGATTACAGTGTGTGCCATTACAGCTTTCGGATCGTAGTGCTTGAAAAAGCCATTTGAAAGTTACACGAAAATGGCTGATAAGGACTGGTTATAAAAGAGCAAACAGTCTGAAGAT